AATTTGGTGGCTTCTCCTTGGCACAAAATTAAAATGGCGTTGAGTTCTTCACCTGTTGCACAGTCTACACTACCCCAGCTTTCAAATGAAAAACCCGACTGGCACAAATTTGAATAAAATAACTGTGCTACATAGGCCATTCTGACTGCAGAGGCTAAACGTTCCACACTTTGAACTTTATTTATTCCTTATTCGGTATCATTTGAAACCCAGCGGATTATTCGAGTGTGAAACAGGTTTGAAACTCGACGCTATTTTCTTTTTATCGAAATTAGAGAACGTTCAAATCTGCTTTTTTTCCCGACTGTAGACGGCGCGAAAACCCACGTCTTTACTCACTATGGAAAACATTGCCGCCTATCGGCGAAGAACCGCAATTGCGGTCTTGGAAAGCGGAACGCAAAGCCGAATGAACGCGAGCGCGACCGAGGAGCCAACTTCGGCGTTGTCACTCGTTCCCAAACAGAGAGAAACTCATTACGGGCTAGGATTAGATCGATCGCTTTGAGACGAAGATGCCCAGTGGAGAGTGTGCATGCTTGCCTGGCCCAGGCAATTTGTGCCAACAATGGAGCTCGTCTGTGTGTGCGTGGCCGTGCAAGTGCGCGCGCGTGCGTGTACATTTGTGCGTCACGCGAGAGCTTCTCTCTCTCTCACACTCACACACTGTCACACACTGACACACACACACACACACACACACACACACACACACACACACACACACACACACACACACACACACTCACACGGGCGCTAAAGTGGGCTTTGCTTCTTGCCGTCGCCATGGAAACCATCGAGTAAACACACTGACACACACGCACACGCACGCACGCACGCACACGTACACACATCAGGGCTATCTTTATTTCCCAGCTGGGTTGATGTTGTTGAAGAGTGATGATCGTCAGCTCTTCAAGGTGTATCTGCAAGTTTGGGTTTGATGCTCGAAGCGGCGGAGGGTGTGGGTGTTAATAAAGGATTAAGCATCAAAGCAGAGAACGCAGCAGCAGCAGTAGTCAAGCTTTCCATAAATTAACTTTTTTTTTTTTTTTTTTGGTCTGCATGGCACCTCCGTATTGTTGTGTTTAAAGGTGGTCAGTGCACGCGTGTCAAATTGAGCCCCTGCTAATGACTCCTTTTATGATTTGGGATGGGATTAGCTTTACGTGCACTTGTCAATGGATGGGGTCATATTTTAGGATTAGTATTGATTTGAATTCATTTTTGCGCTTCAAAAAGTAAAAGTCCATTGTTTTGCGTGCACAGATAGCTAAAAGTTGTCATGAAATGCGTATTGTTGTAAATGAGTCGTATTTTCTTGTTTATATTATTTTGAAGATGTCATATCCAAAAGCTTTTGTCTTGAACTGATCTGTATTTACTGTACAATATATAATACACTATTACTGAGCTGTGCATCAGTATTAGTGTTATTACGTCATCCATTTAGCCTCCTTGGCTGATCGGTCGAGAAGTCATGGTTCTATTTTGTATGGCAATCCGTTTTTGACTTCCCAATATGGTTCCTTCCCCTCCTCATGTGGTTCTTGGCATTGCCTTGCACTTATTTTGACCATTAGGAATGACGTATAGTTACTTGCAGACCACTCAAAACCCTGACACGAGCTCCAAACTACTTAGAAGAAAAAAAAAAAAAGGAAAATAGAGAAGATTTAGTTGTTGGTCTTGACCGACACCAACTTTCACTAGTCCAGGGGAAATTGCTCAATGTCCCAATACTTTTGGCCAGAGTGATCTCAACAATCGACTTTCCTCCCGTGGAGGCAGCCAACCTGTTTTGCCTCCTCTGGCCCGCGTCCACTTGGATGACTGATGAGGATGAATAGCTTTTTAATTTCACTGGTTTAGCGCCACGCTTCCACCGCCGCCCGCCAGACGACGACAAGGAGAGGACAGGCATTAGATGAGGAAGCATTTAGTATGAAAGTAGGGTTTTAATCCTTGGGTATGGTTTCAACTGTAAAGTGTTGGATTTGAAATAAGGTTTAGGGATTCAAATTCAGGTCTCAAGCCTGGGATTTGGGTTCCAATGTGCATTATAGAGTCAGGTTTGTGTTTCACAATGCGTTTAAAGTCAGGATTAGGAGTTGAAGACAGTCTTCGGGTTTCAAACAAGGGTTGGGGGTTCAAAAGTGAGGTTTGAAATAGTCTACTGTTTTCAATACGGCAATTTAAGTTATTTCAACTCAAGGTTTGGGTTTCAGTGTAGGATTGCGAGTCGAGGTTTTGGGAGTTTCAAACCTTGCCAGGGTCTCGAAACATGGTTTTAAACCTGAATTAGGGTTAAAATTAGGGTTTCAATTCAGAGGGTTTGAGTTTCAAAGACAAGTGGAAGACTGCGGTAGGGTTTCAAACGGGTTTTCAAGGTGTTTGGGTTTTTTTTTTTTTTTTTTTGTCGGGGGGCAGGGTTGGAGTTTCAAAATCGACAAGCCATAGGACAAGTGAGCTACGCCCTCTCGTGGAAATTTACAAACATTACACTCTATTTCACCCAAACACATCAAAGTGACTGAACAGTTTAGTTTGTAGTCAATAAAGAGTAATCGAATTCCAAAAGTTATCAACAATTTAAATAAAATTTCAGAATATATATATAATTTTATTCATCATTTCATTAAAAAAAAAAAAAAAAGATACAACAAGTTGCACAAATTGGGACTTCCGGTCATATTCACAGGGCTAACACGTGGCCTGATTTACAGACTAAATGGCAGGAAAAGGGATTGTCACACACTCACACACACAAAAGTCTCACACACTCACGCTCACCCACGTCACATACATATTTATCGCGTAACACTGTGATTGACGGCTCACAAAGAAACTGTGGTACAGCGAACGGCCACCAGAGGACAGGCGACGTCTTCCAATTTCACCCTGGACCCCCACGTCACCTCCATTCTCTCCTTCCCTTAGTCTCGATCCCTTTTTCACATCCACTGCTTTTTTTTTTCCCTACTTTTTTCACCCCCTCACGTCCCTGAGCCCCAGGCGCCCCCACCGTACGCCCCGAAACCACCCACTTCACTGCTTTCTCTTCTCCGATTGGCTCCAGACGTGCCACTGGGCTCTTCTTACCGACTCAACATTCCACAGCTGGAGACAGTGCGCGCGCGCGCGCGCACACACACACACACACACACACACACACACACACACATTCACGCTGACACACACTGACACGCACACACCTTCTCTTCCTTCCCCTTCCATCTCAGTCCCAAAAAAAAAAAGCATTCCTGGAGGTGGGGGGAGAAGACGGGGAAATGATCCTAAATCTGCTTTTTGGGGGGTAAAAACAACACTCTGGTATTTACATTGGTGTCGGGAGGGGGATCTTGGTTGTTGGCAAATGTCCCAAAACAAAGAAACACACACACACACACGCACACACACACACACACATACACACACACACACACACACACACACAAACAAAGAAGAGCTGTAAAGTCTGCAAATATTTTGAAGCAAAAAGAAAAAAAGAAAACCACAAAGACAGAGAAGCAAAATCATGAGAAAGAGTCATTCGGTGTCAAAGTCGGGTTTAAATGAGGGCTTGAAGACTGAGCTAGGGTTGCAAATAAGGTTTCAAGTGTGGGTTGAAAGTAGGGGTTTTAGAATAAGGTTTCAAGGTAGTGTCAGGGCGGGCAAGGGTTTCTAAATCAGTTTGTAGCCTAATGTGGAGGTTTAGGCTTTCAAAGTAGGGTTTCAAGTATATGTTAGGGTTTCATAGTAGGGGAAAACACAATGCATTTGGACTGCGAATTGGCATTTGAAATTGGGATTTCCAAGATTGGGATAGACTTTCAAAGTAGAGCCTCAAGTCCGGGTTTCAAATTTAAGGTTAAGGTTTCAAAGTTGGATATCAAACAATGAGTTTGACTTTCAAATGAGGGTTTGGTGACTGGGTTGGGCTTTCAGGCCAGTTTTAAGAATTTTAAGGTAGGAAGAAGACAACATTGGTGTCGAAGGGTGGGTTTCTTGGTGGGGTGGTGTTGTTCGGGGATGGGGGTGGGGATCGGGGGGCGTTTAGCAAATGTTCCAAAAGTAATCACAAAAGAAGCATGAGAGTCTTGAAATCTGTTGGTCTGAGCCAACAGAAAGAGAGAAAAAAAAAGCCGTAAAGAAGTGTGGATCTAGGGCGCTGTGCAAAAGTGTGGAAAAAAAAAATTGCTGACTCAGCTCCAGGTGGAGGCACAGGGGGGGCCAAAACATACAACGCAGCAACACTTGGAAGCCAAAAAAAAAAAAAAAAAAAGTGCAAGAACAGAGCACGAGTTCACGTCACTCAAAATTTGGACACCTCCTCCTCTTTCGGATGCTGACGTGTCCGAAAGGAAGGAGGCGGGATCGGGATGATGACATCGGGATTGTGGTCGGCTTGACTTGTCTCCGTTTTAAATGAGAAGAAAATTTGGCAGCGGGGGGGGGGGGGGGGTCAGAGTTGCTTATTTCCAGGGGAAGTTATACAACCAAGTAGGCCGCTGATGGTGTGCTGGTACACTTGCCTGACTTGTGTGCGGGCAGCGTGGGATCGATTGCCACTCAAGCGACGGTGTGAATGGTTGTCTGTCTCTATAGGTGCCCTGCGACTGACTGGCGACCAGTTGAGGGTGTCGTCTGCCTTCTGCGTGACCCTTTTCGGGATAGTCGGTGTTGAAACTGGCTGCATGGACAACTAAGTCGACCTTTCGTGGCCTTCCTATTTGTGAAAATATGCGGGTGAGCAAGGTGTTCTCATTTACATCATCCCGCCCCTCCTCACCAAATTTCCCCGCCATGAAATAAAAACACAACCAAATTTTTACGGGTGCTCGCTTTTCTTCTGGTTGTCGCTGCTTGCCCTCATGGCAGTCCCCTAAGTTCTGTTACTGGAACAAAAGGCATCGTTGACATTGGCCCCGCAGTAGGAAGGGGGCGGGGTTAGCAGTGGCTCATTTGCATGACAAAACAGTCTGGTTTGATTTGTTCTGTAAAAAGTGTGCTGTAATTGTTAATCCTTGGTGTATTTTGAGGAAAGCATGTCACAGACACACTTGGGAACAGTTTAAAAAAAAAAAAAAAAAAAAAAGCATCATGCACTACTCACAAAAAGTCGCCGTGTTGTGGCTCGAAACTCAGCACCCTCAGAACCTCAACGACCGGAGGGCTGTAATTGATGCTCAAGGGCACACGACGAGTTATTGAGACTTTTTTGTTGTTGTTGTTGTGTTGTTGTGGTGAACTTTTGCCATTTTCCATAAATTTCACCCAAAAGCCAAATATCCCAAACTTTTTTTTTTTGTGAGTATTGCATGTCGCCTTTAAAATTGAGATGCTGCTGCGCTCTACACAGCCTTTCACTTTTAGGGGGATTCTTTTTCTCAAGTTTATTTTTGGCTTCAACAAAATCAAGGTTTCCGCTGCAGTCTGGCCCAGTCTGAAGTGTCGCGGGACTACTCGGGCTGCTCGTTGAGCTCCATGTCCGATACCAGGATGTTCTTCTCCACCTGCTCGCCCTGCCCCGAATGCGTGCGACTGTAGCGGGCGCCGTCGTAGGACCCCCGCACACCCACCCCGCCGCGCCGCCGGTACAGGTAGATGACGCCCACGATCAGTGCCACCAGCACCACGCCCGTCACCAGCACCACAATTAGCGTGGGCAGGTGGTCGCCACTCAGCAAATCGTTGGAGGACTCGATGACTGCAAAAAAAAAAAAAAATGTTGGATTGTGGATTCCTTGTTTATAGGGAAGAAGAAAAAAAAAAGCGGATCAAACATCCGTGCTTACTTCTCGGCCGCTTGCAGATGACGCCGTGCGTTCGGTTCCGGCACGATCCGGGCTTCCACAGGCCGCTGTTGCTCTGGATCCAGAAGCAGGAGTTGGGGGAGAGCACGGAGAAGGCCACGTCGTGAGACTCCCAGTTGGTGTACGACATCTGCGTTTCCTCGCCCCACACCAGACCTCGGCCTAGGTCGCAACACGCACAGTCGCCCAACGGTATTTAAATACAGATTCGAAATGATCGGTTCCGGTGTTTCTTCACCCCACACCAGACCTCGGCCTAGGTCGCAACAAGGTATTTAAATACAGATTCGAAATGATCGGTTCCGGAAGATTACATGGAAATACATTTGTACTGTACTTGAAAGTTAAATGGAGATTAACTGTACTAAAAAAAAAAGTACGATTGTCAATTTAAAAAAAAACATAAAAAGTTTTAACAGAAAGTACTAGGGTGGAGTTGATCAGGATTTTATTTATTTATTTATTTTTTGGCTGATGCCGAAAATTTGTTTGCTTTTACAACAGAGAGAAAATTTGACCCAAGGGATTTTATTATTATTATTTTTTTGATGCCGAAAATGTGTTTGCTTTTACAACAGAGAGAAAATTTGACCCAAAAAAACCAAAAATGAGGCGAGGTAAATGTGAATGTCTTTCTTTGTCTCATGTTGTAATGTGCTAAAATAAAAAAATAAAAAATCGGCATTGGATCAGCAAATTATCCACCAATGTATGCTGATTTCTTTGTCTCATGTTGTAATGTGCTAAAATAAAAAAAAAATAAAAAAATCGGCATGGATCAGCAAATTATCCACCAATGTATGCTGATTTTAAATGAATTAAGATTTGCTGATTTAATCGATCGGCCGATTTATTGGTCGGGCCCTACAATATAGCTATCAGCTTTTCTTGTAATATGCTCACTTGTGTTGAATGTTTGAAATGCCGTACCCATTTACTTGCCTTTAATTCAGTGCTTCTTTCTGGGCCCTACAATATAGCTATCATCTTTTATTGTAATATGCTGACTTGTGTTAATGTTTGAAATGCCATACCCATTTACTTGCCTTTAATTCAGTGCTTCTTTCCCGTACCACTAGAGGGAGCCCATGTACTACTAGTGCTACCCGTACTACACTTTTGAGAATTACCGAACGAGAGTGGCTAACATCGAGGGCAGCTCCGGTAGTGCCCTAAACTTAATACAGCCTCGTGACTCCATTGAAAAATGATCACAGTCCGCCCAGTGATGTTTAAAAAGACAACTTTCTTAGTTAGTCCCAACCAATCCTAAACTTAAAAAAAAAATCAAACTAAAATAAATCAAATATTTCTCTCCAGTAACCAGTCCAAATATTGACACTGTGGTCCCAAGTGTGTTGAAAATCGCCCCTGGTTGAAAGTCATTATTTCTTAAATTAACTCCACAGACATCTGCTTTCAGGTTATGTAAGACGACTGTCACGAAAGCAGAGTGACATTGATCCGGCGCCAGCTCGAGGAAGAAAAGAAGGGGAAAAAGTGATTCGTGACCTTTGACGCTGACTCCCAGCCAAGCTCCGTGGGCCTGCTCGGCCAAGCTCTGAATGTGCTCCCACACAAAGGCGTTCTCCGTCTCGTCCAGAATGGAGAGAAGCTCGGCTCCGACTGAAAAAAGAAAAAAAAAAAGCAATACTTTTGGGCAGGCAAGCCTTCAGACCATACCAAAAAAAAAAAAAAAGGCATCCCAACCTTTCTGGCAGGACAAGCGTGCGTCCTGCTGCAGTTTGAGTCTTTGCAGGTTAAAGGCGTAGCAGTGGTTTCTGAAGGACACCCAGGCCCAGTCGCCCACCGAGCGGGGGCAACTTCCCGGGTAGAGCCACTGGTGAGTGTCTGGCGCATCTGTTCGATACACGGCAGAAGTTTAGGGAGCGACTAATTCCCGGTTATGTCATCGACTGAACTAAGCCCATCAAGAAAGTAAGAGGACATGGCCATCTTGTCACCCACCACTGATTTGACAGATGGCAGCATCCAATTTGGCGTGGCAGGGGGTCATGGTCCACAGGCCGGAGGTGGTCATGTGACCGCAGCCTGACAGCTGATTGGGCTGCCCGTCCACCCAGTTGGAATAGGGCAAGTCTTCCTCGCCCAGCCAGGTGTAGCTTCGGTCCTGAAGATGCACAAATCAAGATTTCCACTCACGGCATTTAAAAGAATGTCATCAAGACTTTTCCAACGTAAAGGTCACTATATATAACTTTTCCTAGTCATTTTCTTATTTATTATTTTTTTTATTTTATTTAATTCATTCAGTGCCATTGAGGGTTGTACTTTTTAACTAGGCGGGCTGGCGGTAGAATGTAAAAAAACTACTTTTGAATTTGTTTTCATTTTAAGGGAGAAAATATTTTGGTGCATAATCTAATATAGTGGGTTTTTTTTTTTTTTTTGTAAAAATTTATCAAAAATTCCAAAGATACCAGAAATATATTTTTTTTTAATTTTAAAAATATTTTTAAAATATATATATTCAACTGTATAATATTACAAATGACTCACAACTCGGTGCCCGTGCTAATTTAACACGACGTTACGGCTTGCGATAGAGAGCCGGTGGACTCACCCCAAAGTTGTAAAGTGCGATCCATGCCGGCAGTCGCAAGCTGTTGATGAGCAAGGTCAGGTAGGCCTGCTGGACGGCATCTTTGGGCGCCGCCAAGGTCCCGTTCAAGGAGTTACACAGGTGCAGGGCACCGGTCCAGTCCAGTCGCTTCTGCACCACCTGGTACGTGATGCCACCCAGCTCCAAGCGCTTGGACAGGGAAGCGGGAATCAGAGTCGGCGCCGCGGGCATACCTGGATCTGAACCAAAGGCCGATGTCGCGTCATTAGAATCGAGTCGCACACATGTTGTGTGTCGTGGCACCTAGACTCATTTGGAAATTGTATTCAACCCTTTCATGCACCCTGTAACCTGATAACAGGAGAAGCTGTCCACTGTAGTAACCGCTGTTCACATTTGTGTGAGTTAGGCTAGCGCGCCATTTTGGAAACGCGCACCTTGTTGCCTCTGACAGAGGTAGCCGAGGCTTTCCGTCTCGCAGGCCCGTGAGGCCCACATGCCCTTGTGCTTCTGCGGGTTGCCGTGAATCGCGGAGACGCAGTTTCCCTAGTAGGACACATCAAGACCATCGAAATTGGAGCTTGAACGAGGGGGAGAACAAGTCTATCCAGCGTCACCAGTACCGGGTTCTTGTCGTGATGCGGCCCGTTGTTGTCGACCGGCTGTCCTGGAGCCCAGTTGGTGTAGCTGAGTAGGCCCGGCTGCGCCCATTGGAAGTGACCTTTGGCGTCAGAGCTGAGGCCGAGCCACAGGTCGACGGTGACGTTAGACAGCAAGGTGGTGACGAAGGCTGCGAGCAGGGGGGAGCAGATGGCGCGATTTCATGTTTTGCGCGCTGTCAAAAGAAAAGAAGAGCCCAAACTGTCTCACCTTGCTCCAAATGATTGGACACCACGGCCAGGACGCCTCCTTGCAGCTCACATTTTATTTTGGCTGCAGACCAAGTGGCCCTCTGGGACGGCAGCTCCCTTTGAAACACTTTGAAACACTAACAAGGACGAACAAACAACATTTATTTGGATATTATCACTAATTAAGTGCAGGATTTTTTTTTTGTTAATTCCAGCAAAATTCTAAGAAAGAGAGAATTCAATTACATTTCAAAGGAAAAAAAAAGGACCGTTAAATTATTATTATTTTTTTTAACCCTGCAAAAGCCTCACAAGAACTTCCTTAATTTTATTTTAGGGCGAGATCTCTCGAGATCTCTCAATATCTCTCCCCCCGCCAAATATTTATGAATTCTAAAAAAAATAAAATAAAATACAAACTGCACCAGCGTGATTTGTGCGAGAAGGCGACTGGGCTGGCCAGTAAGTGTTTTCCACAAAAAAATAAATAAAATAAAAAATAGGGGGGTTGGCTCCTCCCCCCACAAAAAACATCCGCGAATAGGTGAAACCAGGGTACCGAACCGTGAGTATGCAGCGGTCCATTGTATGGTATTTTTGTGGAAAATCCTCCTGAACAACATGCTGGTAAATAAGTGCAAAATCATCTTACCTTGCGCCGATACGAGGACCAACCTTCGGGGCAGCCCGATGGCAGGTGCGGGGACGATGGCGTCGGAGGGGCGGTGCCGGTGACGTTGACCCTCTTGCAGATGTACGGGAGGTCAGAGTGGCACTTCTGCTCAGCCCACTCTGCTGTTGAGCAACCACAAATACAACTTCAGTAAACCCACGCCGATTTGCAAATCACCATTGTCATGCTAACTTGAATTTAGCCAAGCAAACCCCAAGCCCTAAAACCGGCGACACGTGTCCGACTCAAGTAAAGTCATGCGGTTCGAGTCCCCCACCTTTGGGCTTCGCCGTACACGACAACACAAGCCCTCGACAGCGCGGCTCGTCTCACCTTTGCTCGCAATCAAGTGCACACATCTGCGGTCGCGACTGAGGGGGCGTGGCCTGTTGGCAGCCCAGGACACGTAGTTGAGCACAGAGTGATCGGACCAGCGGAAGCGTCCGTCGTTGTCGAAAGTGTGAAGTCCCAGCCACCAGTTATCGCCCTCCACCTTGACCATCTAGAATACGTACAAAAAATAAAAGCAAGAAGAAAACATCATTTTGTGATGTTCTGACACTCCCGATGAACATGTTAGGCGTGTTTTCCTTGCCTGGTTGAGTGTGCTGGACAGGAATTTCTCTTCCTGCGCCGAATGAACGGAGGCCAGCGATGAATCGAACCATGAGCAAATTCTCTGGGCCTGGTCCCACGTGGTGCGGTGGTCAAAAAACTTGTATTCGGCTTCCTGAAAGCCGATCCATTCGGGCGAAGTGGTGCCTAACAAGAAAATAAGCCCGCGTTATATGATCGGACTGATGACTTTCACATGCTGCGAGGTCACATAAAAGCTAATATCAAAACACCGACCTTCAGCGGCCTCTGGTTCCTTCTCAACACTGCCTAAAAGCATGGAAAAAACAAAAGATTTGAATTTGTTATTCCACCAAGCAGTGCACATCAGTTTGGTCTGCTATGCCCATCTGCTCTATAGTCTCAAACTAAACAGTCCTAAAATGGGCAAAAATTTTTTAGAAATGATGACAGGATGGTATGTGCAGTTCTACACCAGCCCTGTAGGTGGCGGTAATGGAAAATTGAAAACAGGCGCCACACACTTGGCTCCAATTCAAGTGGACTGTCATTATATTCTTTGATCTGTGTAAAAAAAAAAAAAATCCCGCAAACTCATGATGTGATTGTCCTGTAAGTGGCAATAACGCAGACAACAAATGTGGAGGCCACACACTGAGCTTTTTTTTCACAACATCGGCCCATGTTGGCAGTGGAGGATAACTACGGAATGTGAAAAAGAACTCCTTGATTTCAGCCAAACTCGACAAGAAATGCTGCTGTTCACCTCCAGTCCTGTCGGTGGCGGTAACGAGCACAACAAAATGGTTAGTTTGAATCAGAGAATTTCTTTATTTCGTCCCTTGACAGTTACAACAATAACAGTGTGAATTAATCGACTCTGTCCTGTCGCTTTTGTTTCACGGAACATCAGATATTTCAGAATATTTAGCTATTTTTTTCCTTTATTTGAGGGGAGGGGTTGTATTGGTTTCGTCGTCTTATGTTGAAATGTGTGAAAAAAAGAATCTGGAAAAAAATAATAGGTTGTCCCGAATTAAAAGCATTTTAATTAATTTCAATGCGCAACATTAATTTGAAGTTAAATCGACCCCCCCCCCCCACACACACACACACACACTTAAACTTGTCAGTCAAGCTGCCACAGTACGAAAACATGCAGTGTCGTTTTACCTCGAGGGATTTTGCAAATCCAGTCCAGTTGATTGTCACAATGCATGGCCAGCCAGGTCATGGAGCCCAAGTCTGCTGCGGCGCACTGCCGGACGTTGTAGTAGTAGCGCCCGAAGTTCTGGTACGTGACCTAGTCATCAGGTTTCAACGTGATCAACTCATCTTTTATTATGCTTCTTGTTTTAAAATTTTTATAAGCATCAGAACTCACAGCCAGCCCGTCACTCCACTTCCAGCTGCCGTTATCCATCGGGTTCCTGCGGTTCAGACCGATCCAAAACCAGTGCTGGTCGTGGTCCTCAGATTCCCTGTGGGCCAGATCCCATCGTCATTGACACCACCACCATCATCATCATCATGAAGGTTCACGAACCCAAAGGTCTCATGCAGGACTTGGAGAACAAAGTGCTCCTCGTCGGGGCTTCCGATGCTCAAAAGGTCGGCGCCATGTTTGCGGCAGAACAAGTGAGCCTGCAGCCAGCTCAGTTTCTGATCCATTTGCGACCAGTGAAACACCTGCACACACGACAGCGTCATTTATTACAGAGTGGAAAGTGGGCTGTCCTGTTGCGTTGGGGGGGGGCTGGGGGGGGGGCATGTTGTCATTGACCCATGTTGAGATGTTGGAAGTTGAGAGGCTGACATTGAATATTTTGGGGGCACTGGTCATTTTGAGGCATGGGCTGGGTTGGGGAGTTGATGGGGTTTGGGTGTTGTGCAAATGCAGATGAAAAACAAAAAACGTCTTTGGTAGCGGTAAATCACACATGTCAATCAATCACTTAAGGCAGGGGTGTCAAACTCATTTTTGTCGCGGGCCACATTGAAGTGACCGTTTTCCTTGGAGGGCCGTTATGACTGTGAAAGCATTCAAAGAAGCCAAGAATAATGGTTGAGTCAATGATTGTTTAAGTTACTGTAATGAGGGATTTGGTAACAAGAAAATGCTTCCAATATCTCTCTTATTTATTACATATGAGGAGTTGAAATTTCGGTTCTGATTTTAGCAATCATGGTAGAAGTTGACATGTCTGATTTGCTTTCGCGGGCCACATAAAATGATGTGGTGGGCCAGATCTGGCCCCCGGGCCTTGAGTTTGAGAGCTGTGACTTAAAGGGCCGTCACCTTGTAGCAATGGCGCAGGTTGCTGTTGCTCTTCCAGCCGTTGGGGCAGGAACCACTGAGGCTGGGTGTGGGCTGAGGGGCGGGCAAGGAGGGCTCGGGGCTCAGGGTGGCATCCTGGTTCTGCCGGCAGATGTATTTGGCCTTCCACGATGCGCACTCCCTCACCTCCCACAGGCCGGTTGCCAAGCCGGTCGCCATGGAGACACAGCCTCCTTGTACGCTGACTGGAAGGACGGGAAGTCAACCGTGAGAGGGCGTTTTTCCGAGGCCTCCGTCACCCACGCGTGACCCCACCTGGCTGGTCTCGGTTCCAGTTCGTGTAGGATACTCGGTCCCCGCTCTGCCAGTGGAACGAGCCGGGGCTGCCCTGGTCGTGGAGGCCGATCCAGAAGGAATCATCGGAACGACCGAACACCAGATTGCTGGCGAAGGCCTGCTCAAACCTTGCGAGGGGGATTTCCAAACACGTTAGGGGGACATCCAAGCGGAATTCCCCGATGATTTTTGCGACTGCTACCTGTTGGTAATGGTGAGGAGCGACGCCTTATTCTCCTCGCACGACTTCCTGGCCTCACTGAACGTCAACAGATCCTCCGACACCCAGTAGCAGGATGGACTGTGCCACTTCCAGCCCTTGGAGGGCAAACACAAACAAAAAAAAAAAAAAGAGGGGGGGGGGGGACAAAGAATGCATATTCATGTAAATCAACTGTGCCTTAAAACAAACAGTACAAGAAGAGCACATGTGGATGCGCAGCAATGACGAGTGTTGCTGGCGTGGATGCAGACAGGAGGTCATCGGGGGTGAGACCGACGAGTCTTCTTCAGGTTAGTGTGAAAAATCCGAAACGCAAAAACCACTCGCTGGTTTTAGCATCTGCACGCAACCCTCCCCCCCCCCCCCGCCCCTTTCAAGCTGCGACGTTGCATTCACGTCTCTCGCTGCGCTCAAGCGGTGACGCCTGGAGTGAAATGTAACACATCGTGCAAATACGCTCGTCACCGCCGAATTGAAAATGCATGGACAGCATATCGATATAACGGCGAAAAGTGAGGACCGACAAAAAAAAAATGTTGATTCAAGTGTGCTAAATAACTATGCTTCTTTTTTTTTTTTTTTTTTTTTAAGTATGCTTCACTTTTTGCTTCAGTTCTAAGGACACTGGGCTGCTCCTTGGCTACCTGGGGGCCGTTGAATAACGAGATTGGGGGACACAAAGTTTTCCAAATTTGCTTCAAATTACAAACGCATCTTCCAGATGACACAGATCACGTTCACTCCGCATGAGGGATGCGTCTTGAAAAGTCGTCAACTCTTTCACTTCTCCTCAGACGCCCAAAATAAAAAAATCTCCTATTTGCATGTGATGCTTTTTACAACAGGAAGTGTTGTCAAGGAAACGCTGCTCATGTAATCACAGCGCCACCTTCTGGCAACTAAATGCATTCTCCAATCCAGCCGAGTGGGGAATTAAATGACAAAATTAAAAAAATAATTTCTGGGGGATTATAAAGTAATTTCAAGTCATTTTTACTTGATATTTATCAAATTGGAAGCACTTCTATACTCTATTTGTGTCGTGTTTCTGCAGCGGGCTCAGCCGACCAGCGACAAACATCGAAGTCAGCTTTGTTAGCTTAACCACCACGTGGCGTTTTCGCTTGTTGTTTCACATGTTGAGCTCAGCTGGAGGCAAACGAGGCCGCGAGGTGAACTCCTGTCACATGACCACCCGTGACGCCCACCCCGCCGCCATCAAACAAACGCTCCGCATCCTTGGAAATTGAAATGTTTGAATCGCTCAAGAGATGTAGAAGGAGGATGTCGCAAACTTGCAAATCACACCGTAACACGTCTCCGAGAAATGCGCCCCGAGTTGGACGATTTCAGGCCCGTCGAGTCACCGACGGGAGCGTTATGTATGGGGCCCCGCATGCGGACGTGATTAGGGGGATGAGAAATCAAAGGCAGATGTCTGTGTGAATTCCTCGCACATGGGATTTGATACACACACGCTGTATTCATGCGGTCCTCAATGACTGCGTATAAGGTTCACAAGTATAAGTTAGACGGGTAGGTTGGGGGGCGGGGGTCAAAGCTGCACGAACAGCTGGAAGACGTATAACAATAATCAGGCTCCCAACAGGCCTGCAGACTGTCAGTAGCTGCAGACGGCAATAAACGACTCAATTTGGAATTTATAGACCGAGTGTGTGTATATACATTGAAAACATTGTACCAAGAAGGCATTTTCCCCCAAAAGTGGCGCTTCATTGTCACTCCCAGTTGAAGTTTATCGTCAAACTAAACTTCATCTGATCATCCCGCAGCGAAAACAACCGCACAATTTCGCCTTCCACTAGCTCGACGCTAACACGCCAGGCAACATGCCTTAAAAAGGTCAACAAATAGCATCGATAGTCGTGGCGTTATCAGCCTTGAAGCGATGCATAGTTGAACGAACACACAAGGACTTAAAAAGACGAACAAATAGCATCGATAGCCATGGCGTTATCAGCCTTGAAGCGATGCATAGTTGAACACAAACGGTGGAGTAACACGTGTAGACAAACATGATGACATCTATTACAGGCATGTTTTTTTTTCCCCCAGAAAAGACAACAACAAACAATATACTGTATCGGCTAATCGTGTCACTTACTTTTTGAATCTATTCTTTGTGTGTGTATTATACTGCCCCTTGTGGCCCAGTCGCACACACTGCAAGAAGCCACTTTATCGGGCATTCATTTAAAAATCAAATTTTCATTTTTAAATCTTTCAAAAAAAATTTAATAAAAAAGAAATTAATTTATAGGACAAAAATGTTTCCATTTTTTAATGACCATACAGAATGGGAAAAAATTCGCACATGTATTTCAACAAATTAGAAAATCGTAGAAAATGTTCATCAGTTCAACACAAAACATGAAACGCTGATTTCTGAAACACATAGGAAGGCCAATTCTTATGCATTTTTGTAAAGCATTGTATGTAATAATATAATTTCTCCAAAAGTTGAATTTAGCGGTTTGCATTAGCTAAGCTACGCTTTCATTAGCTGGAAGCATCAAAATTATACAACAAAATGTTTTCACTTATCTGTCACTTTCACAATTGAAATTAAATGACGTTTTCCACCATATTCTAATTTATCAAGATGCGCCTATACTACTTGTCCAAGATTCCAAATACGGTCATTTTTTTTTTTTTTTTAAAGAGGAAATTGAAAAGCGTGTCATACCTGTTTGCAGTCTTGATGTTGAGGTTTGCCTTCGCTCTTGGTCGCGGCCTTTTTGCAGATGGCGGGCAGAGTCAGGTTACACGGGCTGTCATCCCAGCGGCCCTCCTACGTATGGAAGACACACACACAAACACACACACACACACATAGCTGCTGAGTGTACACAAACACACACACACCCACGTGAGGAC